GGTGTCCGCCCTTTTCCGCTGGCCATGCGGCATTTCTATTCATTTGTCTCCCAGGTCTGTCACTGGTGGTGTCCGCCCCCTGTCGGCTGGCCATGTAGCATTTCTATTCATTTGTCTCCGAGGTCTGTCACTGCTGGTGTCCGCCCTTTTCCGTTGTCTCCCTTCATTCTTTCTTTGTCTCCGCTCTTGTATCTGTGTCCGTCTTGTCTCCCTTCTGTTATCTTTTGTCTCCCTTCTTTTCTCCCTTCTTGCTGGTCGTTGTGTCCGCCTTGTCTCCCTTCTTGTCCCTCTTTGTTTCCGGTCTTGTCTCCCCTTTCGGTGGTCACGGCGTCCCGCTTGTCTGCCTTCTGTTATCTCTTGTCTCCCTTCTTGTTGGTCATTGTGTCCGCCTTGTCTTCCTTCTGTCTCCGGTCTTGTCTCCCTTTTTGGTGGTCACTGCGTCTGTCTTGTCTCCCTTGTGCTTCCCTTTGTCTTCCTTCTTGTCTCCCTTCTTGTTGGTCATTGTCTCCGGTCTTGTCCTCAATTGTTGTTGGTCACCGTGTCCGTCTTGTCTCCCTTCTGTTTCCTTTTGTCTCCCTTCTTGTCCCCTTGTTGGTCATTGTGTCCGCCTTGTCTCCCGTCTTGTCTCCCTTTGTCTCCAGTCTTGTCCTCCTTCTTGTTGGTCACTGTGTCCGTCTTGTCTCCCTTCTGTCTCCCTTTTTCTCCGGTCTTGTCTCCCTTCTTAGTGGTCATTGTGTCCGTTTTGTCTCCCTCTGTTTCCTTTTGTCTCCCTTCTTGTCTCCGTTCTTGTTTGTCATTCTGTCCGTCTTGTCTCCCTTCTTGATGATGTCTCAAAAAGTGGACTTGGGAATGCTTCGTTGTTGTCTAACCTGTTTGGGGTCTACGGTGGTGTAATTGTGTGAATTGTGCCCAAAAAGATCCGCAAAATGATGGGGTGAACTCGGCATCCCACGTTTTCAATTTCAACAAGCTATCACGCCGCATCACAGCTCACCCTGAGGGAGTACTGTGCTGTATCTTTGTAAACACAGCAATGGCCATTTGTTGGGCTCCTTTTTGTCCTTTTGGATCATGAACTGCTTGTCAAACATCCAAACATTAACACTTTTGCCATGCCTTTGTCAAGTATAGATGATGTTGGCGATGCCTCTATTTTACCGTAGCACTCACAGCATCATCAACTTGACATTGCATTCTTTAATGGCTTGCTCCAAAACAACACCACATTGTCTAGCATCTGCAGACTTTGTGCAAATCATATTTGCAAACAAAGTTAAACCGCATCACCGAAGCAAATCCAATTTTAGCAAAAGGGGCCGAAGGGGACCAGAAGCAGTTTCATTTTTTTGACAGTTATTTTTGGGAAGGGTGGGCTAACAAGTAGCTAGATGTAGTAAGGGGTATTAAGTAGGTGTCAATAGGTCCTAGGTACTACCAGTAGGTACTTCAGAAAGCTCAGGCTTCTACAAGGAAGCTCCCCTCACCGCCTTCAAGCTTAAACCATTTGATACCTCTTTCCCTAGGGCCCTAGGGTTTGGAACAAAAACCAGATGCAAAGACCATGCCCCCCAAACTGGACATATAAGTTTTCAAAAAACAGTTCAGTTCTGCGCAAGTCGCTTGCACAGAATTCAACACCCCGCATATCATGTCAATTCACCAGCGTCATCCTTTTCTAGCACATTTGCACATTCTGCTATTCTTTGTTCTGTGATACGCCGCCGCGCTTTCCGTCGCTCATGGAAGGTTGTATTGTATTGGTCCAATGTCTTGACATGTCACAAGTGTATTGGTTAGGCCCCGTTGCTTACTAGTAGCAAGGTGCATCGCTACTAGTATGCTACTAGTAGCAAGGTTCCTTACAAATAGAAAGAAGCTACTAGTAACAAGGTGTGGTGATTGTTGTGTCGAAATCTTTCTTTTGGGAGAGCTGTGGGATCCGGATTGCTCTCGCTGCAAAATTCTTGGTGGCTTTGGGTGGTCCCAGTGCCAGACTTGTTACTAGTAAGGCCAGGAGCGCCCCTAGTAGCTTCTTGCTCCTAGTAGCGATGCCCTTTGCTCGTAGTAGCGTCCTTGCTCCTAGTAGTAAGGCCAGGAGCCCCTAGTAGCTTCTTGCTCCTGTTCGCAGAAAGTTTTACTTTGCATTGGCTTGCAGAAAGTGGTTGAGAGGTGACGAAATAGTCTTCTCGCTTTGGGCATCCCAGGTAACTTGCCTTTGTCCAAGTAACTTCCCCTCGCGGTGGGCCGTGGAATTGACAGGCTTCACAGGCTGATGGTGAAAGGATATAATCGATGCACTGCTGGTTGAGGATGAAGAGACGTTATGCCCGTGCCAACTCTTGTTTGGCGATGTCGCACTGTTTGCTTCTTTCTACGTCCTTGCTCCTAGAAGCGATGCCATTTGTAACTAGTAGCAATGCCAGGAGCTACCAGTAGCATCCTTTGCTTATATCCAAAGATATCCAAAGGCTGAAGCGACTTTTTTTGTTTGGAGAAACGTTGGTCCTTGGTGATCGGGTTGTCAGGGGTTTGAGTAGGACTTTTTGAGGTGAGTGATGGAGCGGGAGCGGTTCTGGGAAGAGTTTGTTGCAAGAAGCATACTCTTGCCAGCTGCACTTCTGCATCAAGAGAAGATGTCACCTTTCTCTTTGCCCGGTTGTGTTTTCTTGAAAGCCTCCGCGGTTTCCCAACCCATCTGTGGCTGCGCTGCTCTGTCTCGCACTGTGCTCACTGTCAAGCTAGGCTGCCTGGTGTTGGCTGCTGGTTCGACATCTTTCAAAAGGCAAATCTGTGGTCAATTTCCTTTTGTTGTTCATTCCCCTAAAAGATGGGACGTGGTCTGCAAAAGAGTTGAACAGGTTGAAGGCCATCGCTCTCATAAGCTGGAGGCCACTACTATACTACTAGTAGGTAGCAAGGCAACTGGCCGAGACTGACAGCCACTGGCGGCGCAAGCTGGAGCGCTTCTGTGCGCCGCTTAAGGTGGTGGAGAGCTCTTGGAACACATTCGCCGCTTGGGGCGCTTCACTGAAGCGCAAGCAAGGTTCTTCGTGGCCGAGGCTTGGTGTCCAACAAGCGGGTTTAGGCTGCTAGTTAAGCTTAAGTAGCTAGTAGTAAGGGGCAAGCAGTCGTAGCTTAAGTAGCTTCCTTCAACTTTTACTTTGTGCTTCTTCAGTTTCTTCGCGTTTCCAATTTTTGTTTTTCAGAGATTTCCTCTTCAAGGTGGCCCTGGGCCTGGAGTATTTGCATGACAAAGGGATTTGCCACAGAGATTTAAAGTATCGCCCTGAGATGGAGTTGACGGAGTTGAGTAATTCGAACTTTTCGATTAATTGAACACCAACGATTTTTATCATTCTTCAGAAAGACTCACAATAATCTTCACTTTTCTTTTTCGATCCACTTGGAAAATGCATGAACGTGTGCATTTTGGCTTTGTATTCAGGCCAGAAAATGTGCTTTTGGACATAGATGGGCACGTGAGGACTCCGCCGAGAGCAGTTTAATTGAGTTGTTTCAGAGTGAGTCGTTCTCCAAAGCTTTCGGGCATGAATAGTAAAAAGAAACGTAGATTGGAGGCCATTGCTAGTAGGTTGGAGGCCATCGCTCCAAACAGAAAGAGAAAGAGAAAGGTACCAAGAGGTATTCTAAGGTACTAAGCCCATGGAAGGGGTCCAAGAAAGAAAGAAGAGAGGTCAAAGGAAGAAAGAGAAGGTCTAGTCATGCTCTTGAGTCTTGAGGTCTTTTTCTCAGAAGGAAGGAGAAGAAAGAGAAGGAGAAAGATAAGAAAGAGAAGAAACAGAGAGAGAGAGAAGAAAGAGAAGAAAGAGAAGAAAGAGAAGAAAGAGA